CCTCACAGTGTTACTGGAGGCCAAGGTAATGCCATCCAGAGTAAGAATCTGGTTAGATACCATATTTCTAAGCTTTTCAGCGCCGAGTACAATGACGCCACCATTGACACCATAAATTGTGCTGTGTTAGATAATGTAGAGTAGCTGTGTTCAAATACTCTGCTGATGCATATATGGTATAACCCTGCATGCTGGTATGAAGCTGGCTCTCCTGAGGGTAATCATTCAGTGCGCTTCAGAGGAAAGAGGAGTTTGGAAATCAACAATTAACCACAGCTCATGTTAGAGCTCTTACTATGAGGACAGATCTCAGCATTAGTTGTTGGGTGGAGGCTCTGTGAACCCAAGTACACGAGTACAGCGAGACTTTGAGAAGGACCGAGCTGAGAAACAAAGAGAAGGACACTGATACGTTCACACACCGCCCCGTCTGGTTTCAGCTCAGTGAGACGGAGATTTTCACAGGACGATGAGGCAAAACGTGCAGCCTCTTTTTAAGCAGAGTGGTGGAGGTCAGCATCTTCTAGCATGTGTAACAGACCTGAACCATAAATGGCTTGGAGCTCGACTCCAGCGAACAGGTGCTCAGCAGGTGAGGGAGCTGCTCCAGGTGATGAGCCAGCTGGAGACAGAGATCGTAGATCGTAGTCTGAAGACTGTGTGTGTGTGTGTGTGTTCCAGTGCCATCCCTTTGGAGAGGAGGATACTGACTATGCTGCAGTGGCTTCACCTCCCTGAAGGAGAAAGGTGAGCTGTATGTTTGATTGTTACATCTTCTTACCTTCCTTTTCATTTTCTTTGACATTTGAAATGCTTGTTCCCTCTTTAATCGAGAGAGAAAGTGACACTGATGTAAAGTAGAATAGCTCCATGCAGTGGATACGTACCACAGCGTACCACAGCGGGACCCTCAGTTCATCGAATGTCCAAAACAAACCGTGTTAGCTCCTTTGATTCCTTTAAATTAGCTTTCTTCTTATTGGCTGCCACTTGTGCATGGGAGTCCTCTGATGTATATCTGAGGGATATCTGCTCATGCTGACATCATAAAGTGCCAAGTGTGGAAAGCTTTTCAAGCAGTCTGAAACCGGGGCTTTCAGCTCACGGGGTTCATGGTTTGTTTAGCTCCTCCCCAAACTTGAAATTTGCCTGGATACCTTTAAAGGATGACAGGATACTTCACTCTCTTCTTGCCATTTTCTTTTCCTTGCCAGTTTGCCTCACTTTGTTACAACCTAAATTAAGTAATAAGAGTTACAGTTACAGATTTTGACCATGGGAGCAAAATGCCTGTGACCTTACAGAATGAAACATCTACGCAAACGTCGTTATTCTCAACCAACGTTAATATAACGTTCTAGCACTTTAAACTCAAACTAAGTTTAAAGTTTAAATAAAAGTTGGAGTCATTTCTTCAGTGCTCATTTCTGTTGCTCTGCTTAACGAGCTGGCGAATAAACAAGTTTTAACATCACCTAAATAACATTTTAAAGAGAGCAGTCGGTGGCATTGGTTATATCTGTTTGTTGTCAGTATCCGGCCAATAACAGTTTATTAAATAGTTGTTTTTTTGGTTTATTTTTTTGCTAATTATTAGCTGTTAAACAGCTCAGGAGAAGGGTGTGCAGTAAAACCTATTTTTCTATGTGAGACATTCACCATGTTGGCAGCTGGATCACAAGAGTCCAAACCAGCCTCTGAAAACTTTATTTCTTGATTTTACTTCCACTAAAAGTCGACTTTGACTCACCTTTTGTTGCAGGCCTTATGTTTACGCCATGCACTCTGAGCAGCCGGACACATACGGACACAAATTGGGGCCCATGAGCATTGATGTAAGTACTCTGTATCTGCACAAACTTCTTGTGGCATGTTTGTGGAAAGCACGCAGTAAAGGAACATCCAAAATGTTTGTTTGGAGGATGACTCGCTCTGTGTGCTCTAGCTGAACATCTCTCTGAGGATGATTGACAGAATTATCGGCCAGCTCATGGATGGACTCAAGCAGATGAAACTGCACCGCTGTGTCAACATCGTCCTGGTCGGGGATCACGGTACGGACACACACACACCAGCACAGGTGTGTGCAGAGTAGGGCTGCCACGATTAGTCGACTAGTCACGATTACGT